AAGAATTGCCTATCTTTACATTATGTACATTCTTTATATTATGTACATCTTTTCATTATGTACATTCCTGGAGGAATGTTGTCCATGGGGTCGCAATGGGTCGGACACGACTTTGCAAATAACAACAACACATTATGTGAAAACTCTGCACTTGGTTTTGCTGCTGAAGTAGGAAATCCACAGTAAATGCGATAATGGCAGGGATCAAAAAGAAAGGACAAAGGACAAAAATCTAGCAAACAGTTGAAATTAAAAGGAGAGTAGGAAGCATGTTAATTTAGGAATGCTTAAAGACAGCAACACTCATCCATATCTACTAAAAAGTCAGGGACAATGAACTGGAAGATTAGAAAGAACACTCTGCCAACACTCTCCAGAGAACGCCGTTGTGCTAAAAATACAATCTAATCAAATCTAAGGAAAAAGAGCTATATATTAAAAGAAAAAAACTCCCAGAGGCAGCTTTCAATTGATAGCTCATCCATATTTGTTTACTCCAATATATCAGTCTGTTTTCACTGAATTAAATATTTTAATGTACATGTTTCTGTTAATCCACCTAACATAAAAGGAAAGTTTTTATATACAGCCATAGAGGGTCAGCATCTAGGATAGGAAGTAACCTCCTTTGTACCTGAAGGTCATTATAATTTGGAACAAAACTTTAAAAATCTGTATCTGTACTGTTGAACAGAGCACAGAATCCTACCATGCTTGTCAGTGCCAAATCCTACTTCCTTTTGCTGCGTGCATAGATGGTTTTGTATTAGAGAAATCTTGAACATTCATCTTTTTTTAACCCATTATTCATAGAACTAAATCCTTTAAAACCTTTAGTTAGAAAACAGCAAATCATACAGGAAAAGCATCCATGTAATCTTAAACAACTGTCAAAGAAAAAATGTAAAATTAACTGTACTGCAGAATCAGCTTTGCGTTACAGCTTCTTCCAGCAAGTTGTTATTTCCTTCAGGCTGAGAAAATGAGCTTTAACCACCTTCTACTGCAGTGGTTCTTAAACTGAGGGTAATTCGGCCATATTCAGGGGGTAATGGAGCAATTTGTAATTGCTTGTTTGTGTGTTGGGGATCCACTTTGGGACTGCCACTGCCAAGACACTTATGAAAACAACTATCTGAAGGATTTTTTGTGGGGTGGGAGTAGTAATTACATTATTTGAGGTTGGGAAAAGGAGTAATTGGGTCAAACAGTTTAAGGATCACTGTTCTAGTGAGCAATGCAGCACGTTACCTGCCACATATGGGAGAATCGTTTAACCAGAGCATAAAAATAATAAGAAAGCTGATCTATGAACAATAATGGATACACACACACACACACACGCAAACATGGCAGATTAAATAAAAGGGGACAAGTTATATGAGGTAGTCATTTTTTTCCTTCTATTATTATCCAGAAGGAGAGGACATATTTCCATGAGGTTTTTTTTAGCATTTGTGGTTTGCATGGCACTGGCTGTTTTTCAGTGTTGTTCCTTTAAGCAGCTTTATTGTCTCCTATCATCAATTATGCCTTTAGAGCTTAGAAATTCCAGCAATCCTGGACCACCAGTGAGAACCAACCTCTTAAACATCCCTTTCTTCATGTTTTGTCTGAGAGCATGACAGTTAACCTTTTTGGAAATTAAGATAATGATTATGGTTATATTTATTATTTTAGAAATACTTATATACTGATCTAATTAACAAGATTCCATGTACTATACTAAGAACAACCAGAAACAGAATTATCTCAAACACAATTAAAAACAACTCCTCTTTTACATTGCCTTCCACCCCCCTCAATTTTAAAGACCTTAATTTAGTCCCAAAGCATTTAATCCCAAATTAAATATTTACTTATATGATATACTTAAATGAATCATGCCATAACAACAGCTCTTGGCACAAATTTGCTGGTCAAAGTTTAACTAAAGTCTCAGAATACTAAAGACTACGAATGAGTAGATCTCCTTCCCATTTTGGGACACTCATAACTGTACTTCCTTTTCTTATTTTTTTTTCTTTTAGGATTGCTTATATGAGATCATACTTCCACAAAGCATAACCCTCAGTCTTGAGACCCATTCATTATTGTTAGTTTTCTGAATTGTGGGTCTCTGTATTGCTACTTGTGTTACTCCTTATACTTAGATAGACCACTTTTCAGCCACTGATCTATTCTTGCAAAACAGTTAACTGATTACACCAAGACGAGGTCAAAATATCTTTTTGGAAGACACATTATGTATGGAAGAGTGGGCTTAAAAATGCAAACACAACCAGATGAAATCATTTCCAAGAATTCCTTATCATCTTCCACTATATTGATTTATTTTGTCATGCTATTTATATTTTATTTCTGCAATAAACAATTTCTGAAGCCCAAAAGTAACACAAATCACATATCTCAGTTACAGAAATCATTTAAAAAATTAAACTGCTGTAAAAGCTTGTTTAAAAAAAACTATGTGAAGTTCGAAAATTTGAATATATTGCAAGTTACGATAGATCAAGGGAAAAAAGTAAGATGTTGGATTTGTTTTTGTTTAAATTTCTTAAAATATTGTTATTCTCTTATTGCTTTGTGCATTTTTAGCTGACAAACTATACACTAACATTTTATGAGATGGTTTATAATTGGAATCCAAAATTAATTTTAAGAACAATGCCTAGTACTAATGATAGACTGATGGTAAGACAATTAAAATAAAGTTGTTTTTATTGTTTCCCCAAAGTTGCAACAGGTGATTCAATTTGTAATTTCTAATGGAAATACAGCTCAGAAATTTTGCATTCTCTGCCCCATGAATCATCTAAACCAGTGTTTCTCAACCTTGTGAACTCCCAGAATTCTCCACCATGACTGGCTGAGGAATTCTGGTAGTAGAGGTCCACCCATCTTAAAGTTGCCCAATTTGAGAAACACTAATCTAAACTGTTCATGCACGACTTGCAAGACAAAGACAAGTTTGCCCAGCCTGCAGATTTTTTTGGAAAACCTATTCATTTGCCTACTGAAAAAAAATTATAATAAGCATGTACACAGTCTTCAAGTAAGAGAAGAAAAACAGCAAGAAAAAAAGGAAAAGGCAGATATAAGGAACTTACTTTAAACCTTAAAGGCATAAAATACTTTAAAAATACCAGACAAGATGGGTGGCACACAAATCTAATAAATACATACATACTGTACATAAATATTGAAGTTCCTGAAAATGAATCAGTGGCTTGTTTATATAGGAAAAAACCCCTCTAATTTTAAATAAATCTTCTCCAAAATCCTTCTGATTTAGATAGCTTTCAAGTTTAATAACTTTAATAGTTAGCTTTTAAGTTTTTCACCTTTAAGTTTATAACCTTAAAAATGTTCAACTGGGGTAATCTGAATGTGACTTTCAATTCAAGTAAAGATAGGACTAGCAGCCAGAGTATGTTGTGGTGAAAAAAAAACACAAGTAGCACGATGGCTCAGTGGTTAAGATGCTGGGAAAAGCTGACAGCCCAGATTTGAGATCTGAGTGTCGCTGGACCAGGTGAGCTCCCACCTTTGCCTAATTCAGGGTTCCTCAAGCTTGCCACTTTAAGACTTGTGGACTTGCTGGCTGGGGAATTCTGGGAGTTGAAGTCCACAAGTCTTAAAGTGGCCAGGTTTGAGGACCCCTGGTCTAGTTCCTGCCCACCTAGCGGTTTGAAGGCATGCAAATGCGAGTAGATTAATAGATACCACTTTGGTGAGAAGGAAAACAGCATTCTGTGACGTCATACTGTCCACATGACCGCAGAAACAACTTTGGATAGCGCTGGCTCAATGGCCCTTGAAACGGAGATGAGCACTGGCCCCTACAATCGGTTATGACAGTGGAGTAAAATCCGCAGAGACTCCTTTCCTTTTCCTTATATTATCTAGTCCTTTGCTCAAGGAAAGCAGTGAGAGTTTTGTTTCTAAAGGCAGTGAATATTTAAAATAAGATAAATGTAGCATCTCAAATCTCTTGACCAAATTATTGATTCCATTGCAAAGTTGATTTCATATCAATATGCACATGAATGTAGCATATACTGCACATTGGGTGCACACATAACAAGATGCTTTTTCCAACAATCTATTAAAATCTATCATTTTACTCTTTAGATCCCAGTTTCCCTCTGGAAAATAAAGAACAAGCTTCGTTAAAACCCTCTTCAAGCACTAATTTCAACTTTAATAGGAAGAAACAAAAGAGGTAGTATTCCTCACACTTTAACACTACAATGCAGCATCAAGCAGATGAGCTCTGTTGTTACTATTGTAGCGTTACTAGGGGTTGGTAAGGTGTCTCTTCTAACCGGAGCTCAGGCAGAGTTAGGAAGTAGCAGGCTCTTGTCGTCAAGTGGGGTGGAGGAAAACCCCGGCTCCAGGCAGTAGTAGAAACAACAAGCAGTCAGCGTGCTATAGTAATGGCTCACCCCCCCAGGGCAACTCCCCCACAAAGTCCTCTCTCTCTCTCTCTTGCCTCCGTTTGAAAGGAAAGCAATAAAATTCCACTCCCCCCCTCTCTTTCTCTCTCCCCCTCCTCCACACGAAGGGGTCAGCTTAAAACCTCCAATCCCTCTTTACCTTCACCTGATGAACTCCAACAGCCACACCTTCCTTTTCCTTCCTTCTCTTTTTCTATCCTTTCCCTTCATCCACCCCTACCACACCCGAAACCAGCAGCAGCTGTCCCAATCTCTCCCTTCCCAGCCAAGCTCCTGCAAACACTCTAAGACAGCCCCGCTACACTATGTATCTTTCAATGAGTAGGGTATTTTATCCTTGGGCACTGACAATTATACGTGGTAGATTTTTCTGTGTTTTAATCCTTGTCAATTGCCCAGAGTCACTTGTGTGAAATGGATGGCTATATAAATATAATAAATAAATATAAATCAAAATTCTAGAGGAGAAAGGCCTCTCCCGTATCTTAATTAACTGGTTTTTCTAAACTGGTACCTGTAATTGCTTTCTTCTCTCCTTTCTCCAGCTTGGCTTGGGGGAATTCAATATTTCCACCATGCTCCATTGGCTGCTCTGCTCTTTTCATTGCTGTGCCTTTAAAGCTCATCTGAAGTTGACTGGTATATTTCTCATGCTGAAAAGGAAAGGCAAAAAACTTGGTGTGCATACTCTGAAATGCACAGGAACTCACAAACAAAGGTCATTTTGTAAGGTAGATAGTGAAAAGGTATTTGTATCAGGAAAATAACTAAGAAATATTGTAACACCTATTTTTCCAGAGTTTTGGTTCCAATCCTAATCTCTGTATCACACAATTTGTATTTTAGAAAAGTAACAAGTTTTGAATTAGGAAGATTCAGCAAATATCTTTTTGGGCACTGAACAGTAATTTCTGAAATGATGCAGAAGCAGAAGGAACAAGAAACACAAGTGGTTCCTGTTCTTCCACACATGTCTAATTTTAAGCAAAATACCTCTAAGTTCTCCCCACCACACCTGATTCAGGAAGATAAAGAGCTCATTTTTCATAGGATTACCTTGTTCACTGGCTTCAGCAGAAAAACCAGGTATATCAATGGACCACAACTGACTATTCCTTTAAATAATAATAATAATAATGATGATGATGTTAGAAGGGACCTTGGAGGTCATCGAGTCCAACCCCCTGCTCAGGCAGGAAACCCTACACCATTTCGGACAAATGACTGTCCAGTCTCTTCTTAAAAACTTCCAGTGTTGGAGCATTCACTGCTTCTGGAGGCAGGTTGTTCCACTGATTAATTGTTCTGTCAGGAAATTTCTCCTCAGTTCCAGGTTGCTTCTCTCCTTGAGTATTACTCAAGTATTACTCAATGATTTATTTTTATTATTTATTTATTTGTATATTATTTACAAATAACTCAAGATAGCAAACATATCTACCCCATCTTCCTCCTCCTATTTTAGCCACAACAACAATCCTGTGAGGTGGGTTGGGCTGAGGGAGAGTGACTGTCCAAAGTCATCCAGCTGGCCTTTCATGGCTAAAATTCAGCTTCGACTTGAACTCATAGTCTGCTCCTTTCTAGCCTGGTGCTTTAAGCACTAGACCAAACTGGCCCTAATAAGAACAAGCTAGAAATATGCAAGGATGAAACTAAATTATAAAGTATTTTTGCTGCCAAACATGGAACAGGAGGCCAAACCTACCCTTTAGGCAACTACTTTCTTGCACGTAACATTAAATCTTGGTATAGAGTTACATGCAAATCTACTCCAGGAAAATCTTGGCATACAGGAAAAGCTTGACTCTGTTGCAGTGGAGATGCAAACAAACAAGAGGCAAGATACAGAGATGAGTTCATTTCACTAGATTGGTAGCTGAATTCACTTAATTTTCCACTTAATTTTCAGAGACAAAATCAACAGGTAAACTTTAGGAATCTTCGGTTGTTTGGATGAAAACATTTGGAGCAAATTTGAAGAAAGGTAAAGAGCATTGTATTGGTATAATCCACTGCTGAAAGTAAGTCACTAAGTCCATTTTAACTTGCTGATCTTTGCCAAAATAGTCCCATTAGCTTCTCACTGAAATTCAGGTAAGGTTATCAATCAGTACTACTATAAAGCCTATGATTCATGTTTTCTGACCAACAATGGCATTAGTGCAATGAAAGATGCCATCTTTCCTCCGAAGCATGTTTTCTCAGAGTTGGGTAATCAAAACAAAGCTTATAGCCTACATCCCTACTTTGTCCGAGCCAAGATTTCTCAATGTTTATAGTTGATTTGTTTTAATAAATCAAGTCTCTAGAACTCAAGACTACCAGTAAAAGCCTGAAAATGTGAAGGAATCCTGTCTTGAGGGCTAGGTGGAACATTAAGTTATCACTCAGGATTTGGCAAAGCACAGAACTGCCTTCGAGGAGATTAAGATTATTTCTTAATCTTAATCTAAGATTATTTCAGCATATTATGTTGGTAATTTCTCATGGGAAAGTTTTGTGGAAATATATGGGAGAGGTAGTAATCTGCATCTGAGAAAGATTAGCAGATCTTTCACATCAATGAAGCTTAAGAAAACATCTAAACTGACTGTGCTTGGTTCCATGCTCGGTTTTCTGAGGACCAACACATGAAAAGTTCATTCCAATTATTATACACATGAACTCGGATTTCAGTGATTTTCAAAGCATTCATTTTTGTAATTTACCTGAATATAATGTATTTTGGGAAATATTTCTCGAACTGTAAACTGCACTGCAAAATTTGGAAAAGTGCATTTTTCAGCATCTAACCGCATTCTAATTTATACACAAGTTTAGAAAATGAGAATTGGGCATTTGAACAAACAAAAAGAAGAACAAGCAATTTACCAAATTGACTATGTGGCTACCTAGACCTGTATTACAGGTTTTTTTTTTAAATGACAACCACTTTCCATTATCTTCTATACTTGGTCCTTATTTAAAAGAAAGTTCTTTAGGACTGAACTTAACACTTTTATGTATAAAAACTATACTGAGCTGTCACTCTGTTAATGACCTAGGATTACAATTCTTCAAGAATTCTGGTCCTTTCTTCCTCTCTTGCTCCCCCCCCTTTTTTAACAACCTATGTAAAAGATGGCAAAAATAAAGTATAGTAGCACTGATGAAGGTCAACTAAATTCCAGGTGGAATTCTCCACTAAAACCATAGCTTAAATATTTTGAGGTGTTTTTTTCACTTTGTCACTTAAAAGGGAACACAGATACTTACTTTTAGCACTTCTTCTGGAACCTTGTGCTGAATGTGTTCTAGGACATACATGTTTGCATGTAAAAAAAAGTATTAAGGAAAAATGCAGCTTCAGGAGAACTCAGACATAGGTTAACAGTAACTTCAGGCAATGCATCATTCACATAAACAAACAAATCCCATCTCTTTTGGGATTATTTTAAGCAAAGATAGGCAAGATATTACCACATGAAGCCTTCCAAACATTTCAAGGCTACAAAGTTGGATGAAGGTTAGGGTATAAAAGTAAACTTAAAAGAGGTGAAAAACCGTGACTGATTATTAAAGCTGTTATTAAAGGATTAAGATATGGTTCATGCAATTAATACTGGTTAATTATCAGCATTTGTGAAGGCAAACAGACACAACTTGATTTCTTTTTCAATCAAATGATTTATCATAACTGAAGATCATAAAAAAGAGAATTTAGCTATGTGCATTATTGCAAATCTTGGAAGAAGGCTCTACTTGAAGGTAATTTTTGTTTCTAAAGTGTATTAAAGTGTTTCATGTAAGCACTTTCCTTTATTTAGAACAAAAATATTAATTCTAATAATAATAGAGAAGCAATAATGCCGTCTCTAAAAACTGACTGAATCTAAAATCTTCCCTGTAGGGTAGCCCAAGCTATCCAGTGCTCCAACAGGAAAGAATGAATGAATCGACATCACATGAGATGGATGATAAAGTTACAATATCACTCCTTTCCTTGTCCCCTCCCCTTGTCTTACATATATTCATCAAGCTACAATACACACTAACTATACTTAAACTGACCAAAGGAACTCAGGAGGCCAACAGTGACCACATCAGTTTGGATATATATATTTGCAATACCATTCATTAATGGACTATAATGGAAAATTGTTCATTATGAAGAGGTCATTTTTTTAACAGTAGTAGTTAGCAGCAAAAGCTACAACTTACACATCCCAGAAAGTTTGCAAACACTAGTGCATGTCCCATTAATTACCAGAAATGAATAGTAAAAGAGGACACCAGAAAGTAACACCTATCTAGTTCAACAATGACTGGTAACTAAGATGGCACGTCAACCATAAAACTGGTCTAAATTAAAACTTAAGTCTCCCTTCATTCCACTCAAAGAATATCCATTTCTCTAGGTTGCTATAAAGCAATAGTTTCTTGGGAAAAGAGATGCCAATTAAAATTAAATTAAAACTGCCCAGAGTCAAGCAGATATTTAAATGGGCAGTGTATAAATTTGATTAATAAATAAATACAATGACTTTTAGAAATTTGATCTTTGTATTGGCTTAGTTGATAGATGAAATTAATCTTTCTAAGCAATGATGTTTCTGAGATTTGTTGTGCTTATCACAGGCATTTGTCATTCCTTTCACAGGTTATATCAAGTGCAGCTTTACTCTTTCCTTCATTGCTCACGATTTCCCAGCAGAAAAGAAATATTAATGCACCAAGGAACCTGCCTATTCTAACAAACAGGGAGAGTGTTGGATGCTTCCCAAAATAGTGGCTTAATTCTTCAAGAGTGTCATGTTGTCTGTGGTGCACAGCTGGGGAGCCAATGCTGTCGATATGTTCCGTGACTGCAGTGAACAGAGCGCATCTCCTTATTCAATCTCTGCTCCTGGCAAGACTTCTCTCTTCTGCTCTGCAGTGTTCAAGAATTAAAATATTTCTTTCTATGATGGTGGATCTTCCTTATAAAATCAGTCTTTTAGTTAATGAGGTCCTATCTCCACAGAGCCATGAAGGAAAGAAGGCAGAGGCTTAGGGTGTCGCTACTAAAGGCAAATTTCAATTTGTCCAAAGAAACAATGGACAAATATTCTAAAATACACTATGACAGCTCTTAGTTAAAAAGACAAAGAATATCTAAGCCAGGGGTCCCCAATCCCCGGTCCATGGACCAGTACCGGGCCATGGCATGCCAGCAACCGGTCCACACAAACAAGCAAAGCCCCATCCGCAGGATGTAGGCAGCACACAAAACCATGCACCCTCTGGTCCGCAGAAAAACCTCTCTCCACGGAACCGGTCCCTGGTGCCCAAAAGGTTGGGGACCTCTGATCTAAGCAGCAAAAAGCTCAGAATTCTACAATTAAATTGGTGGTCATTTTCTGAAAGCTCTCTTATTCAAAAGCTTGTAAGAATACATCTGGAGACCTGTATATCTCATTCAAGCAACTGATAAAATCAGGGCTTGACTGAAACTGTTATCCAAATAAAGCTGCTTCTTATGAAGTCTTGAAGTTTGACTATTCTACATACCTCTATCAACGGAACTTGAACTGACTAGTTATATTCAAGCAAAGGAATGCAACTACTGCATCTCCAATATGCTTCTATCTGACATGATCATCCTTTTCCAGCAAACTTTCATTAGAATGCACATGGAGTGGTGGGAAAGGAAGGGGATGACTGTTTAGCTAGCAGCATCACTCCAATCAACTGCTAATCAAGGGACAGCAGAGTCACAACTTGCTCATCCTCCAACAACAAAAATAGCAAACTGCCACATGCAATACCTTATTTGGATCAGTTTGTAATCTTGAAAACCTGGCATGAATTGCAGACTAGCCAGGCTTTTTATTCCTAACCAGAAACACTCAACATGTGGGACATCCCCACAGGGGAAAAAAAGTAATTGTAATGAAGGATGACAATAGTAAGATTTGCACAGGCTCATGTTACAGTTCCAGAACATAGTTGGCCTGCATTTTCTCAAAAGGGTGGGGAACAGGAGGAAATTAAGGATGCCAGAAAAAGCAGGACAAGATTGTTAATATTACTTTTAAAAAAAACAGTAACAAAACAAGGACAAGCTATATTCTGGCTACAGTATTGTTGGCTACAGTGAACAGATGTGTGCATGAGAACTCTGCTGACTCAGGGAATGTAAAAATGGAGTAATATATAAAGAATCAAGGGAGAAGGGAACTTAGTGGGGGTGGTTTTCTCTTTTTTGTTTCTTCATGCTGATAGTTCAGTAGAAAAGGAAGGAATAAAATGAGCTGAATTTGAGCATATGACTTTGTTTTTAGTGATTCTATTTCAGTAAAACTCTCGTTTTCTCTCCTCTCTCCAGCACGCATGCAGACACACACATAATTTCAGACAGTCCTATATCTGCTGCCAAGAACTAGCAAAATGTCAACCATGCTTTAATCTAGTCTTGGGGAAAAAAGGTTCCTTGTCAAGAAAAGAACATATGACAGCAGTGCCTGGGCTTGCACCCTAAAACACAATGCTAAACTCAAAGAAAAAGAAAAACTCAGAATTTAAGAATGGTATAGATTGTGGCATAATTCTGGAAGTTGTTGACTAATGGGGAAGAGAATTTAAGCCCTGATCTGAGTTTTGCATTCAGGTTGGTTATTGAGAGAAGACTGATGGCAAAGCTATGATGAGAATAAAACTGCAAGTGTCAAGCTACTTAACCTAGGAACAAGCTGTTCTGGGACAGAATAAGCCGTATTCTGCACATCCCAAATCTCTTCTCAATAACAACATAAAAAGGGATGAATTAGTCTCCCATAGTCAAAAGTATCTTAAACCCGGAAGCAAGCAAATATAAAGAAGGATAAAAGATGAATTTTATTTTAGAAAGTGGCATGGGAAAGAGAAAGTAATAAATTTGCATAACATAACCAAGAGTAATCACAAAAAATGTTTTCAAATACTCTTCAAATGCCAGTTGTGGAGTAAATTGGCCCACTTACTGTTTTCCAGACCAACTTGCATCTTAGAATAGCAGCAACTAGCAATATATTCCTCTGTACTTATAATATAAACTAATGTGGTCTCCGAGTAACTCTCAGGTGGAAAAACGTATGTATTATATTTTGAAGACACATTTCAGAAATAATCCTAAACGTAGAAGGGTAGAGTTTCCAACCTCATAAAGCTTGTGCTTAGAAAGAAATATGCTGCACTCTTTGTCCACATCAGACTATTTGTTCACCAGAACCAGCATTGGGTATACTGATTTAATACCAAGATACAGTTTACAAATCTTTCCAAAAAGAGTTAAGCATGGGCATATCTTCATTTCATAAATAATGACAAGGTGTTATAAATTGCAATTCTTATCTAGACAATATAAACATGCCTACAAAAACAGAATATTGTTACTGCCAAGAGAAGATCCACCAAAACCTTTCAACAGGAAAATCCTCACACTGAAGCTAATAAAAATCAGCTGTTTCATCAAGCTTAAAACCAAACCCATTTTCAGTTTTGCCAAGCCTCCCCCTCCCATGCAAAAGACCAAAGATAAATTCCACAAACCTCTTTGTTGAAGGCTCAGTGAAACAAATATTAATAAGCTGCTTTTCTTGTTAAGAGCTCCATATATATACTACAGGTGGATCTCTTTAAGGACCACTTGTTTAGCAACCATTTAAATAAGTAGTACTTACAACTGGTCCTTGAAATTTCAGCCATTGCAGTACCCCTGCAGCCACATAATCATGATTTGCGACCTTGTTTGCTGGCTTCTCACAAATAAAATCAATAGGGAAGCTATCAGAAGCCACAGTCATGTGAGGTCCTTGCTTAACAACCCTTGCAATCCTTGTTTAACTATGGCAACCTGGTACATGACATCACACTTTTCAATTGCATCACTTAGTGACATAAATGCCGATCCAATTACCGTAGTTGCCATAGTTGTGAAGACTACCTATATGCTAACCGCAAACAAACCATAGGTAACTTTGCATGAAGTATAAACACTGCCATTGAATGAGACCATTCAAATTTGCTCTAGGGAAATCCAAAGTGCCATCCTCACAACAATCTTTAGGCTGAGAAATAACCCAAACTACAATAATACGATACAATACAAGTAATACAATACAATAATCAAAACTACAGTTCATGCCTGAGTGGGACTTAAGCCTGGATCTCCCCAGTTCTAATCTGACCCCAGACTATTCCAGGTGGAGTGCAATTCATACAATTAGACTTAGTGAATTTCAATTTTATAAGAAATAACACAGTGTTTTCCTTAAAACAATAAATCCTGAACCTTGAAGAGATTGTGCATTTGTGCCTCTACGACACATCCTAAAGGATATCATAACCAAAACGAATCACATCATTCAATTTTAGCGTGATGTACTTCTGGTCAGGGATTCGTATGTCGTTCACAAAGGTCTGTGGAAAAGAAAGACAAAAATATCATTCAAGTGACATGTGAGGAAGAGGAAGTCAGTGTGGAGAAGTTTAGAGATGAAACTAGCTTTACTAAATTTCTATTTTCTGCCAGTCAACTGGTACCTCTTTCTTTCTTTCCTTCCCACATACAATTCCCCATTATTTGGTGCTTGGTTGATTGGCCCCTTTTCTCTGTTGCTGAAAACAGCTTCAGCAAAAGACTGCATTTAAAAACAAAAACAGGCAAACACTTTTTGTCAGCCATACAAAGTATTTGACAGAGCAACTGAGGCAATACCACAAAGCTATTTTTCCAAACCATAAAAGCTCCCTTATTGCATTTTTTGGGCTAAAGAGCAAGCCTTGTAAAACTTCAAAGAAAGCAACTTCACAAACTTAACATATACTTTTAAAAACATTTAAAAACATATAATGTCAGTTAATCTTTATAACAGATACAAATTTATAACAGGCTGGTTAGGATTATCCACATAGTGAAAACAGGAAAGAGGACCCCAGAGAGGAACAGCCACTTGCCTTAATCCATGGCTGAAAAGGAATTTGGACCAAGCATCTCTTCCTTAACCACTAGACAACAGAAGTACTGAAAGTGCTTAAATTTATTCCATACAATTGCAAGAAGTACATATTGCATGTCATAGTACATCTCAAACCCCCAGAGAGTGAAGTATGATAAATATAGAGAACTGTCTTCATGTAGAATTGCATTATACTAAAGATTTCTCCGTCAAGTCAAATAACATGACACTCCAGGTTACATGTGTTTTTTGTGATTGACTCCGTCTCTGCTCACAATTGCTGAAAACTGATGACGTGGTTTCTTGCCGCTTTTCACATAGGAAATATATAAAAACAAATAGCGAACACTACTTTGAAAAGATTTAATTTTGTTCAGAACATAAAAAGCTGCCCAGAGTTGCTTTGGATAGTGAATGGGTGGCATAAAAAGTTATAAACAAATAAGTCCTAGCTCACAGGATTATTTTTAAAAAAAAAAAAAAAACTTGGCACAGCTATGACCACTCTATCACTTTCCATCTACTGTACCCCTCATCATACCCCATCTTAACTTTAAACTTTATTACTGTCAAAGACAAGCATATAGTCCTGAGCTCTAAAATACTGTCCATTTCAGTTTTAACAGTTGAAACAGTTCAACAGCTTAAAGTAATTATTCGTTTTCTTCACAATACTTTATTAAAAAATGCACTTTATTTATTCAGGGTGCTGCACCCAAACATTTATCAGTGATGTAAGATTCATTGAGAGGCATCAGTGTTGCAAAATGTGTTAGACAATCTGAGAGGACCGCAAGGAGAGTAGGGAAAATTTGGAAAAACCATCCAGCTGAAGAATTTGCAATCAATTATACTGTATGTATAATGACAGCCAGTGTACATCAATGGCTTTATCCTTGATACCGGTAGCTAGAGGAAGAAATACTCTGCAATTTGATAAGACAACTATAACAGATAACTTCTACTCTTCCGTAAATGGGATTGCTTTGAAAATGTTTTCAGATGCCAGACTCTAGGCGAGATCCAAACTTTTAAGTAAAATCTATCCAAGGATCCAGGAAGGCAAAGGCAAGCAGAGAAGATGGTTTTTTTTGGGGGGGGGGGGCTGATATTATTTTAACCTGATTGGAAACAGAGGCAAGCCATGCCAAGAAAAACAGCTGTATTTGGATCAGAATTCACAAAACTAGAAAAAAATTGAACATGGACAATGTATTACAGATGGGGCTGGCAGCAACCAGGCCCAGGAAATTATCTGCAGCCAGGCCTTCAGAGGTGGTGCAGACTTAACTTCATTTGAGCTTTTTTAAAAGTGGGGAAGAGAAATGTCAAGGAAAAGGCTCTCTCCAGAGGACTTTTAACTATCTCACTATGATTGCAGTCAAGAGACATCGTCTATCAACAAAAACCTAGTGCAGATACAATATTCTCCTTCTCCCTTCAGTTAGAAGATGCAGCTCACCAAACAGGCTTGTACAATCTATTTTACCTGCTTTCCTCTGTCCACAAGAATTTATTTTTTTTGTCATTCCGGGCTGGGAGTTAGCTATGTCCACAATAGCATCTATGCTGTTTTCTACACACTATTTCACTAACCCTGATTATGTCCAATTTGCTGTTCAAATAATGGGCTAGAACTGAGTCTCAGGCAAATCTTTTTCCTGCTCCTACCTTTTCCTTGGGAGATATAAGAATGTGAGTCAATGTTCTGCTTCTTTGTAGTTTTTTCTGTTCTTCCTTGCAGAAACAGACTTCAACCAAAAACTGGAACATTAAGATCAAAATGAAACTGACTCTTTCTCACTAAACTTGGGTGGCTTTGCAAAGCAAATAGATGCTCATTGCATGTCCCTAAGTCCATCTTTTTCATTGTTAAGAGCTGCACGTTCTACAGCAACAACAGCAGCACTCCTGGAACATCTGGCAGTCACTTTCTCCCCATACCACAGGCACAGTGAAGTTTATCCTGTTCCTCATGACTATTCAGTACAATGGTGTACTGTCCTCTTAAAACAAAGGAGAGAATAAGGGACACAATATGTTTGGGACACAACTGGGATTTTCCAGATTATACTGAACCATATTTGCTGCTGACCTTGGTGCCTGAAGCTTCTGGCACTTGTAGCTCAGGGGCCAAAGGTTCCCTCCCTTTTTCCCTCTTCATAATGGGAGACTGAAGAGAGGGCAGCTACTAAGCTTCTGGCAGCAGATAATTCACCATCTGCTTTTAACCATTCCCTTCTGTAAATATCTAAAGTACCCCTCCCCAACCCAATTCTATCATAAACTAAAATCTCCCTGGTCATGAGATTATATCCAATACTAATATGCAAAATAATCAGACCTAGCTCTGAATATATAGTACAGTAAGATAATGCGATGTTTCAGATTCAAAAGCAAAAACGTGTTTTGAAACTCATGGCAGGCATATAGAACTTGTTGGGAAATTTTTAAATCAAATATGTATAAATCAAATATGTATTATTATTGTTGTTGTTGTTATTGTTGTTATTGTTATTCCTGGATTGTACAGCTGTTGCAGCTGCAGAGGGCAGGCATGCAATCCTAGCAAATGATGCAGATATTTAGGAATTTCTGACAATTATGTGAGCCCCCAGGGTTGAAGCAAATTTTTCCCTTCAAATCCAATGCACTGTGTAGCCCTCTAAGATGAGATATTTCTGGAAGATAGTTAGGGAGTGGATATTTTTTTCATGAATTCCTTATGGTCCCATTTCATCTTGACTTCTGCTTTGGAAGAGGAATTCCTACTCTCCTACTGATCTCCTTGAAATAACAAGTGCCTACACCTACAAGCCAAGAGGATTATAATACTGTAAATCTCTTTGGCACTAACAAGAAAACTATAAAGGTGAAAATAAGAGTGCTTTACTTTCTGAAGTGTAATTGTCAAGCAGGCACAAAACACTGCAAAGCACTGCTACCTACTTCAGGTTATGCCAGATACACCAGAAAAATGTGGTCTTCTGTAGCAGTATTTATCAATCTGACAACTTTGCAAATATGTTGGCTTTCAACAATTGTAATTTGCAATCTATAAGACCTTTAGAGCTGAAGTCAGCACATGTGGAAAATGCTAAGATAGGGAAGGCTGATTACAATACCTAAAAGCCACTGAGATAGCCTAGAATATCAACAAAGACATGATCTCCAAATAAAAGAGGTAATAAAGATCTTGCTGGGGATACACTCAAAGCCCTTGCTCTTGAAATTAGACTGTGTACCTAATAAGCAACACTCTTGTCATACACAAAAATCATAACTCTAGTCTAATTAGCATTTTAAAATGATTCTTCCAGCTTGCAAATGTCAGAAAATAACCTATCCTTTTTTTCTGTTGAAACAGCATGGTTTTGACTACAAAGTTGTGCTTTTCCCATAGAAGATGTCACTCATTCCTCAAATTGCTTGGATCTACTTGGGTCAACTAGAGTACTACAATGGAGTCTTTGAGGAGCTACCCCAAAGAAGGAAGAACTACCCTGCTAATCAGTACATGGAAACATGACCAGATTATACCTATGCTGAATGATATGCAGGGATCACTAATTGCTTAATGGGCTTGGTTCAAAATGTTAAAGCTCTAATTGGATATCTATATCATAGAAACCCTATTTAGCATCAGAAGCTGTTCTAAGAATATCTCATTTGCAGAAGCAGACAGAGGAAACGGTCCTTCCCTGCACACGTTGCTTCCAAACTGTTGTGATTCTGGATGTTGTCATTCAAGCTTCTTTTTCTTTTGGGGGGGGGGGTGAGAGAGAAGTTATTATTTTTACTTTAATACAAGTATACAAATTGTCAAGTGACATACAACTGACACTTCTTCACCTTGAAACGTAATCTTTTCCTTTTTTAAGTACAATAGACCAAACTAAGTGCCTCATGCAGTCCATCAACTTGTTGCAATGGGAACAAGATTCCCCACAAGTAGCCTGAAGTTCTCAAATACAGGTCCTAAGATTATCAAACATATCAAGGAGATGCCTGCTGGACAAAGCCCGTAGTCAGAAGCAAATGGAATCTGATCAAGGAGGCAGATCACCTCGAGCTGATTAGTGCAGAGGTCCCCAACCTTTTGGGCACCAGGGACCAGTGCCATGGTGTAAGATTTTTTCGCGGACCATAGGGGGTGTGGTTTTGAATACTGCCTGCATAGGATAGAGCTTTGCTTATTGGCATGCTGCAGAGCGGTGCCGGTCTACAGACTGGGGGTTGGGGACCCCTGGATTAGTGCATTTTCTCAGCAGCGCTTCATGCAAGGGAATCTTGGGAATCCTCAATGTCACGAGCTGGTTTCACCCACAATGTCACCTCAATCTTGCTCTCAATGTCAAAAGATAGTGTTAGTAAGAGTTTCAGAGAGGGAAAACCTACAGGCCCCGACTCCCTTATTCCTTTCCATTGGCCTCAGATTATATTTTCCCATAACTTGGGGGCAGGAAAAAAAAGTAGAGTGGATGATCTTAAAATGGGTTAATGTAATCTGAGAAAACAAGAAAACCTTTAAAACGTCTCCAAAGTGAAGGGAAGGAAAGGGAAGAAAGAAACCTGGAAAGCTTGGTGCACACTTTCAGCTCTGAGGCTCTTGCACACTCTAAAGTTTTTCGCGTGGGGCTTTGAGGCATTTAAAAGATGCCTCTCCCGTAATGTAACAGTTTTATTTTCATCTTTCCTGCATGTTATTCTTGACTGTTATCTGCCTCATGATTAAAAGGCATAATTCCAATGATAATCCTCTTGTACCTATCAACTAATGAACATGCAATAAAAGAGGCAGATAAATGATTATTGAAATATCCGAATAATTTTATGTTACTCGTTTTGTACAAAAATAAAGTTGTATCAGCTAGTCTTTAAAAAGTCAAGTTTTAGTATTGCTCTTATACCACTCTAAAGTTTATCCTAATAGCAAACAACTTGAACAAGGACAAAGGTAATATTTAAATACATTTCATATGAGTCATTCGTTTCATACCCTACTCTAAATTTAATACTTGTATTTCAAGTACACAAATCCACAAAATACCTCATCCCCAGCTCCAGATTCAATACTCCAGACTGAGCAGCCACATTCTTTAACAAGAAGCAACATACTCATGTGAGCAATTCTGTGTCAGCTTCCTATTAATAGCATATCTCCTATTGCTTATGTTATCAAAACAATGTGGTATTTTTCCTAAAACAGCATATTTCTCCTAGTAGATACTCACATTTGGTCAAAACTCAGGTTTTCTGGTTTTGTAATTTTTAGGTAAAATCACTCATATTCATCATTGGAAATCATCCCATACATCAGTGATATTATTTACCTGCTATAACAAGCATTCCCAACCTGTTATTTTCCAGCTATGCTATAACTGTTGTTAATTGCGAAGTTGTGTCCGACCCATCGCGACCCCATGGACAACATTCCTCCAGGTCTTCCTGTCCTCCACCATCTTCTGGAGACCATTTAAGTTCACACCTACTACTTCAGTGACTCCATCCAGCCACCTCATTCTCTGTCGTCCCTTCTTCTATTGCCCTCAATCTTTCCCAGCATTAGGCCCTTCTCCAGTGAGTCCTTCCTTCTCATTAGGTGGCCGAAGTATTTGAGTTTCAACTTCAGGATCTGATGCTATAATTAAACTCTCCAAATTCTCAGTTTATGTAGCTGAATTTTTGGACTGATAGTACAATATATCTGGATGATACTATGGTTGAGAACTCATTACTGAAATTCACTATATAAACAGTACATCAATATATCAGAAACATTTATATATTGCTACTTAAAATAATGTAAAATATGCAGTTAAACAGTTAAAAATTCCAAACAGGAGATTAAAAATAAAACCTAATATCTCAAAAGAAACCAAGCAGCAGAATTAATGGACAGGATTTAAGTAGGATTAAAAAATTGAGTTTAAACTGAATTGATAAATCATGTATTAAGAGCAAAGAGGTAACAGAAGATTGCTGCAAAAAACATGGCAAACTCTAAAAATTGAAATCTGTGAACTGTAGAGAGAAATGTTTGTTTGGGAATCAGTGTGATATGGAGAGAAATGATTGTTCAGTCTTACTTGACATCTTGAAGGCAAACAAGATTTATACATCATGATAGGTCATGTTAGGTCATTGTATATATTTATCAAATAAACCACAATCTCGGTTTCTCATAATATATGAGAAACAAACCATATTATAGCCCAACACAATGGATTAATTTGGCCTCCAGGTAAAATCGGAATAGTCCTGGCATCAACAGCATTAGAAGACTATTTCTCCTCAAGAAATCAGGAAAATTAATCACATAAATTATAGATTACCTTTATGCAAACACAAACCAGTTTCTAAACCCATTTCAAATCAGTTTTAACATTATAATCCTTACTTTTTTCTAGGAAAGATTCAGATATAAACTGGTAACTCATGATATTATAAAACCAAGGTTTGTTGAATAACCTTAATGGCCTGGTTTGTACATAAAGCTGAGCCATAATCAATGGGTTTACGAATCATGCTAAGTCACAACGAAGCTAGGTGTAAAAATGTGAATTTGACTCAAAAAAGAAGAAGGTAAATGCCATATTATTACAGGAAAATACATCTGAGTCTTGAGAAATTAGAAAGTGTTAAAAAGAAATTCAAACAATTTTGATTTGATTGTATAAGCTGGTACATTAAAAGAGAGGGGGCTTTCAGATTCTATAAAAACACTCGAACTGCATTAAAGTGCATTTTAGCACTCTTAGTAATTCCTGTTTCCTGATCATGCCTACCTTGAATGGCTTAACATTCTTCAGAACAAGCTGTAACATCTAACATTGGTTTAAAAAAACAAGTAATTGCAGCTCAGCCAGTAGGCAAGGGATAAGGATGGCCAAAAAGAAACTTAGATGAGTATCGGGTCTTAATTCACAATAAAGCTTCCAAGTGAGTACAAATTTATATTAATCTACTGAAAGTACAGAAGATTGACTTATTTGGATAGCATTGAACTATACCAGTGATGGCGAACCTTTTAGAGACCGAGTGCCCAAACTGCAACCCAAAACCCACTTATTTATCACTGGGTGCCAGGTGGGCGTGACCCACTCAGTGGTCATGGCTGTGGTGGTCATGGCAGATTGGGTGGGTGTGGCCAAGGTGGGCGTGATCACCTCAATGTTGCTGATGGGGAGGGACACCTGTGGGGGCCGGGCAGGATTGGGGGAGATCCAGGGGGTCTCTGGCAGGTGGGACGGTGGGCAGGAGGCTTGTCCTGCGGGGTGAGGCAAGGCAAGGCAAGGTGAGGCAGGGCGGGGATGCCATTGTCACAGGGCAAGGTGAGGCAGGGGCCAGGGCGGGTGCTGCCTGACACCATCGGCCCCTGCACACAGAGGCCAGCGAGCGCATGGGTGCTGGGATGCAACCGGCCATGTGGGACCTCAGCGAGTTAGCGGGCGGCTGGTTGAAGAGGGATGGTTGCCATCTCCAGGGCATGGTGCACGTGCCCACAGAGAGGGCTCTGAGTGCCGCCACGCGTGCCATAGTTTCGCCACCACTGAACTATACGTTGTTTAACAATGGTTTATTAAACACTGATTGCTTTCACACAACATACTAAGTCAAAATCAAGCAAATCATACTATAGCTTAGAACAGTCTATGAATAGCTAATCTGAACTTGTGGCAAAACTAACTAAGCATCAAGTAGAACTCAATAAAGGAGCAGCTACATATATCCTGACATTTCACAAGATTTATCAAAATATTTGAAATATTTTCTTTTAGAGCCTATTCTATTAACTCCAACCTCAGATGCTTCATTCACTTCTACAAACTGAAATTGAAAAGCCCACCCATAGAAATGAAACCTGGATATGACACACACACTCTTTGGCACTCAGGCTTATCACTCACCCCATTTAAGCTTCCAAGATCCTTCACCCAGTGCTCGTCTTTTTCCTTGTCATAATTGATGACGGCATGCTGCTTATCCACACTGCGAGACTGAGAAGATCAACAACATTAAATTAGGAAGTTATAAGACAGAAATTGTTTTAATAGCTCCAGTGATATATCAAGAATATTAACACAAAGGGGAAATGTTTAACAGGCATAGTGCCTATCAGATTAGGACAATATTACTCTTTATTATAGTATCCCCTCCATAAAAGTACAGTACTGCCCATTGTGACATTTACTTAATCAGATCTTAATCTTGGCGACCATGTTTTCTTGGCCTGCTTACTAGCTACCTACTATCATGTAAGATGATGTTAACTGTCTGTATCATTTAACAGATCTGATATGGAAAGGGAGTTTCAAAGGCCATTACCACTGCCCTTCCCATTGTCCTCAGAGAGCATTCAGCTACGTCAGTCTCCCTATCATCAACACATCACCTAAGCAATACCATTTAGCCCAAACATACTTCAGTTGGATCTGCATATGGCTAGATTAAAATGGATATTGTATGTTGTGGGACTCAACATGAGACAGGCTACTTTTAAAGCCACACAGTAATATGTTTCTAATTTCTTTGAGATTGGTACATAATGTAAACAGTCTTATGATTTAGTGGGCAATGAGAACTTCACTAGTGATGCTCTCTATAAGGCAGACCAGCGCAACATTAAAAGGCAGATTTCCATATTTTGCGGGGAAATTTAGTCTTCAGAATGCATGTTTATGTATTTTCCTCTTTTCTAAATTCTGAATGCATGAATTTATTGCTTCTAAATTGCAGAAAGTAAGCATTTATACCAGCTATTTCTTTATGACCTCTGCTAAACAAATGAAGTCAGTTCAAAATTCCATATATATAGCAACAAACAAAAAAACCCTAAATGGATGAAAGGAATTTTGTTAATGACATCTGAAGAGACTAGTTAGATCTCGTTTTCCCAAAGCCAAGAATCTTAGAGACCGAGTGCCCAAAGCCAAGAATTCTCGTTTTCCCAAAGCCAAGAATCAGGGAATCTTGTAAGTTTTATTCTTTTATTCATTGTGTGGACTTATGTAATCTTAAAGAACTCCCAGTGGTGAACAACAAGCTGCAACATCCATAGAAAATTACAAACGAACATTAAACTTTCCCAGTAAAAATGCATCAGCATAATCATAACATACTGAAGCAAAAAAAGAAAACACCCTAGTTATTTTCCAAGCATGCTTCAGAAAAGCACATATTTAATCAATTTTTGGAGAGCTAAAGAGAAAAATCTAGATTGTTTCCTAAAGGAGGCTGTTTTAAAGAACAGGGACCATCACAGAAAAATATTTCTGAACCCAAGCCCCACACAAACCAAAATGAGGGCTTGTAAACAGCATCTCTCAGGTCATGCTTTGGGTAGATTGAGTCCGTTTGAAGAAAACAGTCGTTTAGGTACCTAGCACCCTCCTATGGCTAAAATCAGAACATCACACCACTGATATCTAGACATCCAACCTCTCAGATACCAAATGTCCTACCTATCCTGTTATTCAACAAAGTAAGTTACCATATCCCAACAGGATTAATCTCTTGTCTCAAAAAGAAAATTGTTACAAGCCAATTCAATTGCTTCTAGGAGTAGAAGCTGAAAAACCGGTTTCAAATTTGTCAGTGGAGCATTTTTGTACCATTAGTTTTGCTCCCTGCATTAGGAAAGGGGAGGGGAAACACACTCATGAGAAGACCCAGCAGGAGAAATCAGCATCTTACAAGCTGCTGAGATGCAATTACTCAAGGAGGAAGTCTGGTAGGAGAACAGACCCCAGAAATCGTGGGCGCTCCATCACTGGAGAATTTAAAGAAGAGACTAGACATTCACCTGTCTGAGATGGTATAGGACAGGTTCTTCTCCCTGAGCAGGGGGCTGGACTAGAAGGCCTCCAAGGTCCCTTTCAGCTGTATTCTATTCTATTCTATTCTATTTCAGACAAGTGGCTGTCTGAACAATTTCCTGACAGTCAAAATGATTAATCAGTGGAACAACTTGCCTCCAGAAGTTGTGGATGCTCCATCACTGGAGGTTTTTAAGAAGAGATTGGACAACCATTTGTCTGGAATGGTATAAGATCTCCTGCTTTGGGCAGAGGTTGGAGTAGAACACCTCCAAGGTCCCTTCCAACGCTGCTACTCTGCTACTTTTCTCCAGTTGTTTTTAGGTTTGCTATTCAGCTACATACTGTCTTTTCTAATTTTAGTTCCTAATCTTTAACCAGAATGTCAGATGCAGAGAATTTTACTAGGAGAACAGCAGCAAGGCTTTCAATTACTATCACTTTTTGTTGCTTCATCACTAAAAGAGGATGAGAAGTAATGCTCTGTCGGTGGTTTAGCAGAAAACCAAAAGGCCGCAGAGGTTATTTTAATATCTAAAAGGAGTAACATAGTGAAGTACATATTTAAAATATCAATAACTTAGAAATAAGAGGCATTATTCAATGGCCCCATATTCATCTGCAAAGTGCCTATTGAATTCCATTATAATTAGGTTTGTTCAGGAGAATGGTATTCTTTTTAAAAGAAATTGAATTGTCTCATCAGTATTAGTGTGGGACATGGAGCATTTTTTCTGAATTAGAGGCAAAGTTTACTCTTCTCAAATCAAGGCATTCACACATTACATGGATGCAGAGAAAAGAAATGGAAGATTGGAATGAGTCGCAGGACCTCGAAGAATCTGTGGAAAACCCAATTAATAATGTACTCCATCTTCTCTCAAGGATAAGAGATTCATCTCTAGAAATCGTAATGCTTGTAGAACTCTTCCAGCTGCCCACCATGATTTGGGCTACAATACTTAGCAGGAAAACTTGTCTCATTCTCATTCCACCCCCAATACAACATAGGAAATAGGGAAAGGGGGAAAGGAGGAGCTGACTGATACAGCAAAAGTCATTGAGAGATAGATTACTTAGAAATCTAAAAGATAATAATACTGATACTGATACGGATACTGATAATAGTAATAGTAATAATAATAATAATAATGTTGGAAGGGACCTTGGAAGTCATCTAATCCAACCCCCTGCTCAGGCAGGAAACCCTATACCATTTCAGACAAATAATTGTCCAGTCTCTTCTTAAAAACTTCCAGTGTTGGAGCATTCACCGCTTCTGGAGGCAGGTTGTTCCACTGGTTAATTGTTCTGTCAGGAAGTTTCTCCTTAGTTCTAGGTTGCTTCTCTCTCTTTGGTTAGTTTCCATCCGTTACTTCTTGTCCTGCCTTCAGGTGCTTTGGAGAATAGCTTGACTCCCTCTTGTTTGTGGCAGCCCCTGAGATACTGGAACACTACTATCATGTCCCCCCTCGTCCTTCTCTTCATTAAACTAGACATACCCAATTCCAGCAGCTGTTCCTTATATGCTTTAGCCTCCAGTCCCCTAATCATCTTTGTTGCCCTTCTCGGCACTCTTTCTAGAGTCTCAGCATCTTTTTCACATCATGGTGATCAAAACTGGATGCAGTATTCCAAGTGTGGCCTATCTACAAGTTGTCTGTTAAAATGCTACACAAAGAAAACACAGAATAAAAGCAAAAGATGCAAAGTGTTTTCTTAAAAGGTTCAACATTAAGCTTATATAATTGTTCACTCTACCTCCTAAAGTACTGTATAGGACTATGTCCCATCACATCTTTCTGATACTTTAATTAACAGAGGCCTATGCTTTGCTACCCCATGCAGAAGAATTCAGATCAAAGTTCCAAGTGATTCAGTGGAACAAATATTTTAAATAGCAGCCCAACTATCCATTTGTGGAGTTGTTCTATTTCCTCCACAAACCTTTTCCTTCAGTGTTGACTATTTAGTGCAAGTTGGAATGCCTGAAGCACAGATCAGGCATGTGTCAACTCCACAAGTCCAGGAGCATTTCCAAATCTAAACACAGAATTCAGAGCAGATGTAGAAGTGAATTCCTGGCCAAAAAAAACCCCCCACAGCAACTGGGTTTTGTCCACAACTAGTTCAAACATAAGGCCTAGTTCAAACAAACTGCCCATTTTTCAGTATATACTAATTTCATCCTCCTTAATCATAATGAGCATGTTGAATATTTCCAAATTGTGAAATAGGGTCAGAAAGCTTGTAGAAAGATTAGGCGTAAATCACATTTAAAAGAAAATGGTTGTTGGTTATTCCATAAGTAAATATATAATTAAGTATTCTGTTCAGCAAAACTGTTTAGCTTACAATCATTGTTTAAACTAGTCTTTCCCAATCTTGGCAACTTTAGATGCATGGACTTCCAATTCCCAGAATTCCCCAGTCCACACCAGTTAGCAGGATTGGGAAACACTGGTTTAAACCAACTCAACTCTTGCCCCATATTCTCAAAAGCTCTTATGAAAAAAACTGATGCCAGGCCTTAACATCTGGCCCAAGAACAAAGCCCAGCAAGCCTCTAACTCACATATTCCCTGATTCATTTGGCACATCCTTAAAGACTACTTAAGAAGCGTTATGTTTCTTAATGCAAGTAAAGAAACTGCAATTATTAGACAAAATTGTGAGTAAACGTTTTAAGATGAATTAAAATAAACTAATTTCAAACTATATATTGTAATGTGTATCTCCCATAGATATGGTTAAAATTGTTTCAACTGTTTTTGGTTCACCCTGGCAATAAAGTTTTAAGCACTGTTTGTTGAAAAGCTAAAATGCTGGATTCACTATACACCAGTGATGGCAAACCTTTTAGAGACTGAATGCCCAAACTGCAACCCAAAACCCATTTATGCATCGTCGGGTGCCGGGTGGGTGTGGCCCATTGGCTGGGTGTGGCCCATTGGGTGGGTGTGGCTGCGGTGGTAACGGCAGACTGGGTGGGACTAAAAAGTTCAATCAATCAATTCCAACTTTGCAAGATCTTTTTTTCCCCACGAGAAGTTGAAATTGACTGATTGATTGAACCTTTTTTTTTTTTTTTTTTTTGCACACGGCAGAGGCCTAAAGCAAAAAGGTTTTATAAAACCCAGCTGAAGGCCTAGGACTGGGGTGACGGCACGCGTGCCCACAGAGAGGGCTCTGAGTGCCACCTCTGGCACCTGTGCCATAGGTTCACCACCGCTGCTATACACTATCCAATAAACTATGTTTTACAAGCCACATTAGCTGAGTTCACATATTGATATAAGCCATAAAACTAATTACATTATGGCTTAGTGTGAGGTACAAACTCAGGCACTATATTTAAAGTAGTATAACATGTTGTCTGAACCAAACTCTGATTCATCCAAGGTGAATATTTTAAAGATTTTTTTTCAGCTTTACCAAAAAAGAGGAGGAAAATATCATGTCCCAAAGCTTTCTGTGCTTGTGTTGATCATGACAAACTATGGGTCAGATAGTAGCTGGAGCTGGGGAATTCTAGGAGTTGAAGCCCACAGCTATAAGTCATAACAGTCATACAGTGGATTATGAGATGATTGACTTAATATTATAACTTTTGCAGAGGTCATTAAGCAGATCAGCATGGTCATTAAGTGAATCCGCAGTTATTAAGCAAATCCATTTTTCACTATGGGGCATTTTTTCTGAAAACTGGACGCAAATGCGGTTTTCAGTAAAATCATCATAAATTTCAATCATGGGATGCTGCAAAGAGCCATAAATGCAGGACCGGCCATCAGAATTTTGGAACAGGGTTGTAAGTACCTTTGGGGGGGGGCATATAACTTTGAACGGTTGCTACGCAGCCAGTCATAAATTGAGGACTGATTGTATAACAGAGGTGCCTATGGCTGGACCTCAATCATCCCTTCCTGCTTCAAAACTGAATATGAATACTGGTAAGTATTATGGTTAGCTGAAATCTGGCTTTCATGATGAGAATTAAAACTCTGCCTCTTTATATAGAGAATGCACTTACCTGGAGCATGAGTTCACAGTCTTCCCTGCCAACAAATATCATCTCCCGAGGAAGCCGATGGCGAATACCTGTCCCACTCACCAGGAACCATGATGTCGTGCTCATTTTGCTGTTTGGCATTTTAACTTTTCACCATCCTATCTGAGCAAAAGAGAAAATCTGGTTAGGTTTGTAATAATAAGCTTCCTAGAAGTCCAATTACTTCCAATTAAAAATCCATCATGTTTAAATTACAGGAGCTAGACACTATATATTCCTATGTCCCATTAAAATAACAATCAATGGTTGACATAAATGAAAGCTCACCAGAAACCAAGCCTGGAAAAAAATTACCAATAGGAAACTATTTCTCAAACACATTAGAGAGAGACACGACAGTTTGTCAGTTGATTATTCTGATATCTTAATAGAATATAATTTTCAGTCCAATACAAAACAGTCAAGTACATCAGCAGAGCAATGAACGAGGCCTTTAGGGAAAAGGGAAAGTAGTGCATCTCTGTAAAAGATTTAGAAATGAAACATAAAGAAAGTTATACTATATATTTAACTTTGAGGAGTCTTTGATGAGGATGTTACCTAGTTTGGGTAATGAAACGTCTGCAAGAAAACAACCAAGCAAATTAACTTGTCTGGCATTTACACAAACAAACTGAAGGTTACACAACACGCTAAAGTACAAAACAACAAAGCATACCTTGTATGCTGTGCAACTGTAACTGACCTGGTTTAGCACAGTGTATAAATTCAGCCATGGAGTCAGGAGTCAAAAACAATTGTGGCTACTTAATCTCCATTTAAACTGATAATCCCGATTTATTTCTCTTTTAAAAGGCAACAGTTATAAATCAGGGTTTGCTTTTAACTCATTACTCTTGGGGGAGGGAAGAATATCTATGGAGTTCGTGGTAATTTATTTTGGTCAATCAATTAAGATTTAATGTATCATTCATTAAATTCATATTTACTTCAGGAGTTCAAGGCAATGTACATAGTACATCTGCCTCCAAATATTCTCTCAACAACTGTCCTATAAGATAGGTTGATCTAAGAGACAATAGTCATTCAAAGAGTTTCTACAATTGACATTACACCTGCAATTATATCTCAGCAGATATAATTCATCATTTAAACAATATACCACTCTCAAAATTCTGTAACATCCAGGCTTGTTATATCTGAATCCATCTATTGACCTGTAGTATAGTAGTGGGAAACTCACAACCTGCCAGACAAATGTAGTCCCAGAAACACTCTTTGTCATCCTTCAAGCTTTCTGAATTCATGCTGCTAAATTTTAGAAAGACACTCCCAAGAAAAACAGTCCTAGTTTTTCACCGTGTTTCCAAAATAGTAAAGAAGCATTAAAGTATTAGTCTTTCTTTAAACATGTGTAATAATTAATTTGTTTGACAGGACTAAGGAGACCCAGGTTCAAATATAAATTCAGCCAGGAAAGTTCACCAAGTGACTTGATCCTGTCACTATCATACCAGCCTGCATCTCAAGATTGGATAGGTAAAAATTATGAGAATTAGTACTACATACATCAAAACTGAGTTTCTGGAAGGAAGGCAAAATATAAATCTAAGGAATAACAACACCCCAAATTTCCAAGGCCCAAACTTCATGATAATTTGTGTGATATCATAACATAGCTCCCTGCAACCTTCATTTATTGCCATGCTCAAGAACAGATTACAGGTACAGAAAGACCAGACTTTCTATTAAAACTTCGCTTAATTTACAGATATGCTCTGACCATATACTTGAAGGAGAAGGGCTACATAATCTTCTCTGGGGCAACCTGCGGCAAGTCACTCAAGGAAAAAAATGAAAATGGTTTTGTTTTTTTAAAAAAATATAAATCATAATTTAAAAAATTAATTTCAGGGAAGCATACACAAAATATAAATTAGTACAATTTACAGAAACAAAGGACAATAACCAACCATAAAACAGAGGAAAGCATATTCAACCAGAAATAAATTTCTGCATGTTGGTCTTCTTTGAAAGGAAAACAACATTTTTATATTCTCTTTCTATAAAATAATAGGCATTAAATTAACATGTCCAGGAAGTAGCAATGGCAGAATATTAAGATATCAAATAAGAATACTGGAAGCAAAAACAGATCTTCTGTATGAACAGTTTTACTTATAAATTCACTCCCAACACACCTTAAATAATTTAAAAACTGCTCCTGCCTCCTAACTTTCTATCATACAGTATTTAATTATCTTAATAAGAATACTTGTATGTAGGCTAAGAATATTCACAATTAGGTGTATCTCCTTTAAAAAGCATTTTATGCATTTCCAAATATTCTCATTATTTATATAATGTTCCATCTTATTTCTCCCCATAACAACCTTATGAGGCCTAAAGCCACTGTGGTGGAAGATGGACTGCTAGAAAATATATTATTACATAGGGATTTCTTTTTCCATGTAATATTTATTTGATTGCTTAAAACTATGCACCATCTTTCCTAAAAATTAAATACAGCAACAGGAATAAAATAAAATTAATATTTTTAAATTAGCAAAACACAAAAATAGCCAAAAAACCCAACTTCCATAGAAGTAAAGTTAAATATATTTGTTTCATTGTTTCAATCTGGTAAGCAGATAGCCCAAATGTGGTAATATGTTTAATAATCATACTTAAGTAACACAGCAATTCCAAAATTAGATTGAAACTGAAAATAATATCAATATCCAAATGAACCACAATCCTTTTTTAAAATATATGTTTAAGAATATAAGAGGGGCCAGATTTAAACCAGATCCACCTTGCCAAGAATCTTATTCCCAGGGCTGCTAATCAGATATCTGTCAAGCTTTCTAAAGTCATGAGGACAACACCACCTCTCCACACATTTCTTAGCAACTAATAATAGAGGTAATCTATATCTATTAAACCAGTATGCATTTATGCTTTTTCTTCCATTATTTGACTGGTCCCCTTTTAAAGCCATTTACATTGGTAATTTTCCTTAGATGTTGGGACAGTTCCCAAAACTACTTCTATTCTGCTGGACAAATGGCTTTGCATTACAGGAAAGGAATATGGGTGACTCTGGATAAGCTTTCAAAACCATGAATATTTTGCAAGACTTTTAATATATTATCTTTATCCTACCTCATCTCAGTTGACTTTTTTCTAAATTAAAAGAAAACAATATGTTGTAACTTTTCCATTCAGTTCCAGGACCATTTTGGTTATCCCTTTGACTGTGTTTTTACTCACCTTTGCCAACAAAATTATTTTTAAAAAAATAACTCTGATCACTCTATTGGTTGATTTTAAAAAGCATTGGTGGCTGGAACACTAAAAGAGAATTTATAGTGTTTCCATGGAAATAATTTATTCTGTATGGCACAAACTTAATGCAGCAAATTACTAAATCCATTAACCTATAACTCCAGTACCTGTTTAGTTAGTGACCTTTGAAAAGACACAATTGAAGAAATTGAGCACAGACTGCAAGAATTACATACAATTTTAGAATGTAAGCATAGTATGAAGAAAGAGATTGTAATCCTAGAAACATTTAAGCAGGACTAAATCCCACTGTAACTGAAGAGTTTACTCCAATTAAATATATGTAAAATTGTATTCTATGAGATTCAGCTATACTGTAGAACAAGTGAGATTCAAACTGGTTGCAAATTCATCAGGAGAAAGACTAGATCTGTACTCCCATAACTCACATCCCAGAACATAATCATTCTATGTTGCCAATTTCACCAGCAGCTTCTCATAGGAAAATGGGCAAAACTGTGATCTCATGACATAGGTGTATTCTACCACACAAAATACTGTAGATGAGCAGCAGCTCATGTAGTTGCCATTGTTGTTTAAAGTAATGTTAACAAGATATTATTCTAGCATTCCATACAGAAATCAAACAAATTGAACTTAATACCCTCCAGTTGTGTGAATCAGAACATTCATCTTCCACAGCTTATATACCGAACGGGCTTATTGGCACTTACACAACACAGCCCAAGAGGCTGGAGTTATTAGAGGCTGTCATTCAACACAGCTGAAAAGCATCAAGATGGAAAAGGCTATACTGTTCATTCTCCCTTGGTCCTGCCACTATCTAACATATAAAGATAAGAACTTGACCTATCCCTGAAAGGATTATGAAAATACTAGATGTATTACTGTAAATATTCACAAGATGCTTCCTAAAAATTCAACGTGAGTAAAATTCAGACCACTTTTTACTATTTCTTTTTAACACAGCATCTCTCTTTCTCAATCTGCTTGCTCTTCTAATATATGCAACTAACTGCAAGGACATGTTTGCATCTGTTACTAGAAGGAAGGGAATAAACATGCTAAGCAAGCTCTTATTGGCCCACAATGCAGACACAAGTCAGGGCAGTAATCAAAGCTTGCAGTGCTTATTTTATCTCTTCCCTGCCCCCCTTTAGCGGCTGTATCTTTAATCATCTCGCTAAACCTCAGAGGTGGCAAATTCAGCAGCAATGAGTGCTTATTATGGACATTTTCTGAGAAGGAGGGGAAAATGTAAAGGAAAACACAGACAGGCAGGCCTCAATAATCCATCTGATGGAAGAGGAAAGGGGAGAGACGAGTTTAATAAGGAGAATAAGGCAAAATACAAGAGAGAGCAGCTGTGGAATGGAGTAAATGAAACAAAATATTAGAAAAGTTTAATAACAGAAGGACAGGAAGGCACTTAGAACAAAAGTAGAAGAATATGCTCAAGGGCGATTGCCTGGTTGGCAGCCACCAAATGCCAATTCAGCTAGCTAGGCCAAGATTCATCCCAGATCTTTCACCATTATGAAGCCACTGCCAGCAGCTATCCACACCTAGAGAAAAAGGGTGGAGAAAAAAGCCACACCTACAGCCAAGTCAAGGTGTGACCACAAAACTGCCAGCCAGCTTAAACTGCCTTTCTTTCAGAAAATCTTTGGCAGTTCAGTGGGAGGGGGAAGGGAAATAGGGAACAGAGGAAAAAGGTGAAGCACCTTTAACCTCCACAGTTCCAAAACCTAAGTTGGAGCACCATAATCTCTTTGTTTAGAAAGAAGACCGAGACAGCGGCAAGCATTGGCTCAAAGCAGGGGCAGAGGGGATGTTGGGACCATAA